GCTCTCTAGTTAACTCAAAACCTCATTACTAAACACTCTATGGTTATTAAAGCTAACAAGCCATAAAACAACTGTTGCTTTCTTGGCCAAAAGATCCAGGAGGGAAAGAAAAATTGTAGATAGCTTCCAGTTATTGCTAGTGTTCATATATCCATCCACTAATATCGTATTAACTGAAAATTTTCACCTAGCTTTTTGGACTTTTTAACTAGCCAATGATGTCTAATACCAGGATTCTTCAAGAGAAATTGTTCTTAAGCAATATCATGAAATGTACTGAATAAATCTGTTTCTTTCACCTCCAACAAAATGTTGATATTTTGGGGTTTGGATTCATGAAGAAAGCACTAAAATCAGACTTGATTTAGACATGCCTTCTTTGTTATGGAATATTTTGTGAAGAATAATGATCATAGAATCATGGAATCATTTAGGTTGGGAAAGACCTTTAAGATTATCGAGTCCAACCATTAACCTAACACTGCCAAGTCCATCACTAAACCATGGCCGTAAGTGCCACATCTACCCGTCTTTTAAATACCTCCAGGGATGGGGACTCAACCACTTCCCTGGGCAGCCTGGTCCAATGCCTGACTACCCTATCACTGAAGAAATTTTTCCTAATATCCAACCTAAACCTCCCCTGGCGCAACTTGAGGCCATTCCCTCTCATCCTATCACTTGTTACTAGGGAGAAGAGACTGACCCCCACCTCGTTACAACCTCCTTTCAGGTAGCTGTAGAGAGTGATAAGGTCTCCCCTCAGCCTCCTTTTCTCCAGACTAAACAACCCCAGCTCCCTCAGCCGTTCTTCATAAGACTTGTTCTCCAGACCCTTCACCAGCTTCGTTGCCCTTCTCTGGACACACTCCAGCACCTCAATATCCTTCTTGTAGTGAGGGGCCCAAAACTGAACACAGTACTCAAGGTGCGGCCTCACCAGTGCCAAGTACATGGGGACAATCACTTACCTAGTCCTGCTGGCCACATTATTCCTGATATGAGCCAGGATGCCATTGGCCTTCTTGGCCACCTGGCCACACTCCTGGCTCATATTCAGGCGGATGTCAACCAGCACCCCCAGGTCCTTTTCTGCCAGGCAGCTCTCCAGCCACTCCTCCCCAAGCCTGTAGCGTTGCATGGGGTTGTTGTGACTCAAGTGCAGGACCTGGCACTGAGCCTTGTTGAACCTCATGCAATTGGCCTCGGCCCATCGATCCAGTCTGTCCAGATCCCTCTGTAGGGACTTCCTACCCTCCAGCAGATCAACACTCCTGCCCAACTTGGTGTCATCTGCAAACTTACTGAGGACGCACTCAATCCCCTTGTCCAGATCATTGATAAAGGTGTTAAACAGAACTGGCCCCAATACTGAGCCCTGGGGAACACCACTTATGACCAGATGATATTTTGTGTATCACCATATCTTCATATGATCCTCAGATCATTTAGAAAAAAGAAAAATGAGATTATTTTAAAATTAGACAAGAATTAATGAACCATCTGCCTTTTAACACAGTACATAAGCCTAATAAATCATCAAGCTTTTCACCAAAGGTATACAAGGAATAAGTGGGAAAAAACCTAAGCAGTAAAATGAAGAATTTAATATTTGAATAAAGATGAGATCTCAGACCTTCTAAGAAATCCTCCTAAATGAAAGTCATGCATGTAATTTTCAAAGACCTAATAGAGTGATCAGAATAATGATCACTCTAATGTATTATGTTTTACTTCAAGTGTCAAGATATCTAAATTACATGTAAAAATAAAACAACATACATGAAAACAGCATGTTTAACTTTGGTTTGAGGCTTTGGTTGGACTATGGAAAAACTGAGTAAACTAAAAAAGAAAGGGAAAAATCCTAAAAAAAAAAAAAAAAAAAAAAAAAAACCAAACTTCTGTCTTCACTTCTCTCATAGAATCATAGATACATAGAATCTTAGAATACCAGGTTGGACGGGACCTTAAGGATCATCTGGTCCAAACTTTCTTGGCAAAAGCACGGTCTAGACAAGATGGCCCAGCACCCTGTCCGGCCAAATCTTAAAAGTGTCCAATGTTGGGGAATCCACCACTTCCCTGTGGAGATTATTCCAATGGCTGATTGTTCTCATTGTGAAAAATTTTCATCTTGTGTCCAATTGGAATCTCCCTGGGAGTAACTTGTACCCATTACCCCTTGTCCTCACTATGTGACTCCTAGCAAAAAGGGAGTCTCCGTCTTCTTTCTAGCCACCCTTTAAATACCGAAACATGGTGATAAGGTCTCCCCTAAGCCTTCTTTTCTCAAGGCTGAACAAACACAGTTCTCTCAGCCTTTCCTCATACGGCAGGCTTCCCGGTCCTTTCATCATCTTTGTGGCCCTTCTCTGGACCCTCTCCAGCCTCTCCACATCTTTTTTGTATAGCAGGGATCAAAACTGAACACAGTATTCCAGGTGTGGCCTGACAGGTGCTGAGTAGAGTGGGATAATGGCTTCATCTCTGCTGGTGATGCCCTTGTTGATGCAACCCAGCATCCTATTGGCCTTCTTGGCCGCAGCAGCACACTGTTCACCCATGTTGAGCTTCCTGTCCACCAGGACCCCCAGGTTCCTTTCCACAGAGCTGCTCCCCAGCCAGGTAGATCCCAGCCTGTGCTGCACTCCTGGATTATGTTTTCCCAGGTGCAAGACCTTACACTTGTCCTTGTTGAACTTCATAAGCTTCTTAGCCCGCTTTTCCAGCCTATCCAGGTTTTCCTTCAGGGTGGGTCTCCTTTCCAAAGTCTTCTCACTTCTCATTTCTCTCGCTTAAAGAATGCCTTATAGTAGTACAACTATTTGTTTCCTATCTATAGCATATGATTCCCTTTCTGTTAGAGAAATAAAATGTCAGAAGACAATGTCTCCAACAATTCCAATACACAAGTCATCTGAACACATGAAAACATAGGTTACACATAAGTAATTGCAATACTGAAAAGATCTAATATGGACTTTTAAATGATAAGCGCACAACAGCAAGTAGCGCTTTATAAAAGATTTAGAGATGCCATGTTCTATTATGTATATTTCTGTGAGTGTTGCCTTCCTCTGAGGATGAATGCAGCACAACCAGAAAGTCCTCTTTGGTTCTGCAGTCAAATATCTGATGTGTGTCTTTAAAGTTCATTCAAAGAATGAACATATTGTAAGTTACAAACCACTGGGAAAATGTACTGTAGAAAATATTCAAAGATTTCTAGTCCTTTTTCAACACAAATCCCAAACTTGGGGCCTTGCTAGAATAACACTGAACCTTAGCTAATAAAAAATATCCTGAGCCTAAGGGAGGCTTAGCATTAAGATACACTGTTTCTGGGCATCTGGGAGTAAATGAAGGAAAGAGTTTGGAAAACTGTGTAAATCAGGAGGTAGTGGAGGTCCAGATCTTCCAACAGCAAAAGTTCGCACAGCTCCACTGAATGTAGTAATCAATTTCCAGCAGTTTAGGATTAGAATTTTTTTTTTTTTTTAAACCAGTGAACCTAAAAACAAGATTTCATCTCTCTAATGTCATTACAGAAAAGCTTATTTCCTTTAATAACAATAATAATTAAAAAATGAGTTTCCTTTTTTTCACCACAACTTAGACTGAAGAAAACAGTCTAATCCACTATTAAAAAGTTTAACAAAGGAAATGCTATTGCAAACAAAAGCTTCTCTTTACTACTTGGAGAAAGGTCTAGCTAGACTGACAGCAAATGATGAAGCAATAAGTGGTGTTCAAAAAGATTTCTGATAGTGATATTTCAGGTCTTTCTCCCTGCAGGCTGGCTACAACACATCTGTAGAAGTTGAAAATTGGCTCCAAAATCATTCCAGAGTTACTCATCATGCAGGCTGTCTCTCATCATTAAAAGTATGTCAATGTTCCCATCCTAAATCCTTAGAATCAAAGCTGTACAGTTCAACAGCTTAATAAAAAAACAAAAAAGCCTTGCCCAAGGCTAGAGCATGACATCCAAGGTATCAGCCTGAAAACTGAAAGCTGCTCATACCATCTTCCCGCTCCCCAAATCTATTTTATTTTGCCTTCAGCTTTCTTGAAAACCAGGAATTTTCACTTTAAATTCCAGGCAAGTATTAGAAAGACTAAAATGCCACTCAAAAAAACCCCAAAACTATTTTAAAGAACTATTTAAAAACTCTATTATGTAGAAACAGAAGTTTTAAGTCTGGTAGACAAGTTTGAAGTGTAGAAATTACATGTAGTACTAAAGTTTCAGATCATGTTCTGAAAGATCTCTGCTGCTGAAAAGCCAGCCCCGAAAAAGCCAGCATCTCCTTCATTTGGCAGTCCTTACAATCCTACCCTCCTAATAACCCTCTGCCCAGCACATCACATATGCTGTCTCTGTATACATAAATTATGTGCATTTTTAAATTCCTTCATGGATTCTCCCCTCTATTACATTACTTATGGGAAAAATTGCTTTGCTACCCATCAAATTGCTAACTGTAGAACTTCTCAGGAGCACTGTGGCAGGTCAGATGTATGGTTGTACATCGTCAGTCATCATGCATCAATTAACACAAGCAACCCAAACGTCTGCTGTTTGGTAGAAGGAACTTCTCTGTATCATTTTAACTCATACCACAATATAAAACCTTGGAACCACCAATTATTTCAAGTGAATTTGCATATAACAATCAAACAGAAGATGTGCTACACAGACAAGAATAGTATATTGGAAAGGAGAATTTGGCTACACAGGAGTTTGTTTAAATGACTTTTGCTTTACCTCTGTTGTTTCCTGTAGCTAATTAGCCCTTCACTCAATTGTATAGATAGCAACAAATCTAGGACTTTCCTTACACTTTACAAGAAAACAGTAAGTCAGAGTGGTATTTTGCAGTATATTTTAAGTCTCTTAGCAGCTTAACATTCAAGTATCTCATATCTGGCATTAAAAATAGTTGACTTATGGCTTTGTTAACAATGGAAATTTTGTGGAAAGAACTGATACTCACTGAAACTACATTCACAAAGTCATCGTCAGACAAGGTCTCTAACATCTCAATGACCGAGGTGCGGATCAGCTTCAATGTCAATCCACTGACACTCCCGCTCCTAACAGAAATCCACAAGATAATAGAAAAGTTGAATTTAACAAATTTTATTTAAAACGTACAAAGAAAATACCAGCACTCTCACCAACTTTTACACTAAAATTGTCCGTAATTCTCCTGAGTTCTCCAACTCACCATTAGTGTTATTACATTATTATAATAAAAATTAAGTCTAAAACTGGCATTCAAAGCCCCAGTCCTGTGGCTCAGATGAAGTCATAATGGTACATCATTCCCTCATTTTCATTTCAAGAAATCTGAGAGAGTTTACCACCTTCAACCAATGCATTATCTAAACATTTTATACTCCTACACATAGATTTACAACTTTAGATTTTCAGATACTCAAATCACAGCTTGTCTAATTCAAGGCATAACCTAAGCTGAAATGCAGAAATAACCAATGTTGATAAATCTCACTGCTGACATGAAAGCACTTCACCACATTTAAAAGCATTAAATGCAAATTCTTTTACTGAGAACTTTTTCAGCATAAAGCAATCTGTTTGACACATCAGTTTCAATGCTTCCTTTAGTCCTTCAACATTACCTAAACAAAGGAAGCCTTGCCAGGGCAAAGAAAGAGTTTTTATGAATTTCTTTGCTCGCATTCTATTAATGTTTTATAGTATCATAGAATCATAGAATCGTCAAGGTTGGAAAAGACCCTTAAGATCATCAAGTCCAACCGTTAACCTAACACTGCCAAGTCCATCTATACCATGTCCTCGAGCACCACATCTACCCGTTCTTTAAATACCTTCAGGGATGGAGACTTAACCACTTCCCTGGGCAGCCTGTTCCAGTGCCTAACTACCCTCTCGGTGAAGAAGTTTTTTTCTAATATCCAACCTAAACGTCCCCTGGCGCAGCTTGAGGCTATTTGCTCTCGTCCTATCACTCGTTACTAGGGAGAAGAGACCGACCTCCACCTCGTTACAACCTCCTTTCAGGTAGCTGTAGAGAGTGATAAGGTCTCCCCTCAGCCTCCTTTTCTCCAGACTAAACAACCCCAGCTCCCTCAGCCGTTCTTCATAAGACTTGTGCTCTGGACCCTTCACCAGCTTCGTAGCCCTTCTCTGGACACGCTCCAGCACCTCGATGTCCTTCTTGTAGTGAGGGGCCCAAAACTGAACACAGTACTCAAGGTGCGGCCTCACCAGTGCCGAGTACAGGCACTGAACTTGGCAATTTTTAAAATAGTAACTGAACTTGGCAATTTTTAAATATGTACAGTAAAACATGAAGTCTGCATACATTCTCATCTTTCAGGCTCATGAAATCTACTGTAATGCTTCCAGTCATTTGGTTTTAGGTTTGTGTTTTACAACAAATCTTGCTGTGCACATGAGAAATTTTCAACTGACTACTTCAGTAATTAAGAAGCTGAAAGCAGAATAATATTAAAGTGATTAAAAAACCACTTCCTTGTGCCCAGTTTAAATAACTTTCAGGTTTGGTTTGTGCTTTTTGGAATTATTTTTTCCTGTCTATTTATTTTTTTCATACCAAGATTTTCAATCCTTGCATATAAGGACTTCTTAATCCTCTCCCCTTTTCAGCATACAGATTTGTTCAATAGATCTAAGTACTTTTATCCCTCTAATGTCAATATCCAGGCATTAAACACTTACGCATCAACTAAAATAAGCATGTCTTTGGGAGATGCAGCTCCTTGGATATACCTGAAATAAATAAAGGGTACGAATGACACAAATTGCAAATGCATTTGTTGCATGTGTTGGAAGACACTCTGCAATCCCTAAATCTAGATGAACCAACAAAATCCTCCTATTGTAGCTAGTAGAAAACCATGTGCTATCATTTTTTCTCTTGCTGTGTCTTCTAAGTAAAGTCCAAACTGCGTTAGGAAAGCCTAGAAGTAGAATATACTGATCAAAACTCACTATTTTCAGATGTTGATAACTGAAAAACACGAATGCTATTTCAGAGCTAAAGATCTTGACAACAGCTAAATTATTACATCAGCCCATACTTCGTCCTTTGAAAAAATGTATTCAACTAGTATGAATCCAAGTATCAATATGCATTATGCCTTGAGAGGCTTACAGAAAAAAATCATGAGAAACAATCCCACTGTTCTCTGTCTTTTATCAGTCTAGTGATTTTTTTGGTAGTCTAAACCACTGAGACATATTTGTAAACACTTGCAAAAGTCTGGAATAATCTGAATTACATTTGATTTTGCACAAAATCAAAGTTTTTAATTGCCTTATACCTATTTGATAGTTATCCTCCTACAAAAAGTCCATGTAATGCAACAGTAGGATGCCCTATAGTGGATATTGCATAATAAATAGTATGATTTGAAAATTGTTTATTCAGAAGAATTAACTGCTTTGATAAAAAGAAAATAGAAATATCTAAAAGTAGGGATTATTAGATACAAATAATAAGAAAAATTTGTCTTTACAGTCATATCTAGAAAATAAGTGATGTATCAGTGATCATCAGTAGTAATTAAGTGATGTATCAGTGATCATCAGTCCTTTAAAGAAAGCTTACCATGGTCTTCTGCGAACATCATACAGATCTATTTTGTTTGGAGTTCGACTTTTATCTACCCATGGGGAAGCTAAAAAGGAAAAAAAAAATTGTATAAAATAAATGAAAAACTTTATCTTAAGTATTTTAAATACAACAGTGTAATGAATCAATATCACAGACTTCGCACTATATAAATATCAACATTTGGTATGGACAAAAAATGTCTGTATTTGTGTAACCTGTTTTTGAAATACCTATATACTCCTATATATATGAACGTATAATATAATACAATAAAACTGTACATAGATGAAGATCTTAAAGGATCAAATTATTTGAAGAAACAGTTGCTGACTACAATAGACTACTGACTTAAATGGAACCAGAATTTCAACCAAAGTACTTTAGAATATGAAATAACTTTTTTTTGGACAAGAAAGTACTTGAAAATACATTAGTTAATTAATGTTGTATACAATAGCGCTGTGCTGATCTAAAGCTCAGCTACACATCTAAAAATTTTTCACTGACTCAAGAGATCCTTACCTAAAAATGCAAATCAGAAAGGTAACATGATAGTATTATATTTTCTGAAAATAAAATGAGATTGAAATATTTGTGTCTCTGTAAAGAAAATGCTAAGATTAATAACCTTTTGCAAGTATTTAATCTAAGATTTACAATAATTTTAAGCAAGGGTAGGCATCTTTTCCTTACTGAAAAACAAAATGAGCCTTTCAAAACAATTTGACAGCTTAACGAACACAAATAAAAATGTGAAAAGTTACATGAAATGAAATAATGTTCTGCAATTTGCTCTCGCACTGTATGCCAACACCACTGGGAGAGCTATTTCCTCACCTTAATCATTTTTCTGTGTAGGAAATAAAGATATAGGCAGCTCCAGGATTCTTCCTGAAAAAGCATTCATCTAAGGCAAATGGGAAGAATTATGATATCTCTATCTATGAATATAAAAGAAGCCACCAGCTTAGAGTAGTTGCCTGGTTTTTATTTTACTAAATGAACCCTTTCTTAAGTGACTATAACCTGAGTTGGCACATCAGCTTCCAGAACATTTAAGCAGAGCATAACCCACAAGACATTCATCAGTATACATTTATCAGCCACAGAAAACACTGCATATTATTGCACACCAGAATAATCTCAAACTCTATACCAGTACTGTTTATGATCTCAAACTAGACCAGCTGACAGGTCCTTTGCGATTCGAAGGGATAAAGGTCTTTGAAATTTCCAGAAATGAGCGAGTAGAATTTTTGAGACCTGTATATGTCAAATTTGTAACTTAAGTATCATTACTTGCGTGTGCACAGGTTAAATTCACTGGTATTTTATGAGCCTGAAGCCATGGTTAGCACACGGTCAATTATGGGCTTTTTGTGCCGGTCCAGACTAACCCGTCCATTACAATTCCATCTGAAAATCCATCCTTGAAATACATTCCCTGAGACTTGCAAAATCTGCATCCAGTGTGCTCATTCCAGTTTGTATTATGAGTAGCTTAGGTAAAATAGCAAATATAAATCAAGGTATTGACCAACACTGCTGTATCTTCGCCCAAACTTTCAGTCTTTCCACTAACATCTGGTAAAAGGCTATGCCCTGTCCAATCCGTCTCTCTTAATCAACCCATATCTTGGACAGTCTTCATAAACTGAGAATTATCTCAACGTTTGCATCTAGATTTTTTTCGAAACAACTGATAAAATATAATTTACACTGCTAGGGTGACAATAACACTTAGCAATCTCCACTACGAAGTGAATTATTTTTTTTCTTTTTTTTTAATGTTTTTTTTTTCGTATAAAAGATAAGTCCAACTCCTTAACTGCATTCTCCAAAGCAAATGGATAGTAATGCAAAGAGAATTTGAACACAGGAGCTGAAGAAGAGTCCTTCTAACATCATCATATTCTGCTATAACAGTGCATACTGACATAGGTATTAATTTAAAATTGATTCACTTTTCTAAAGGCTCACAAAATAACAGACTAGCTCCTTAGCTAACATAAATTATCCACTGAAAACCATCACACGAACATTTAGCTACAATTTATCTATCATAATCTTCAAGATGATAGTGTATTTTACTTCACACTATTTTGAACTACAATCTAACTTTTCTAAATTCTAAACTAAAATTTAGAGAAATATGGGTTAAGAATACTTTTTGTCTGTGTAACAGAAGACAATACGAGAAATAATCCAGCTACATTTTTCTGCAAAATCTGAGAGCTACAAATGTATGTTAACGTCATACCACCTGACAAGTAAGCACATAGTTTCCTTGAGGTCAACACCAGTTGCCTAGACAGAACACACTTCAAAATTGGGTCCTTTAGACAAAATATAGTATGGCAGATCTTTCCCAAACATGAAGAGGCAAAATTAATACTAACTTAAATTTGTGAGGAAACACCAAATAATAAAATTTGATGTGCCTGAAACTTTCCCTAATGTTTCCAAAGCACCAAAAAGGCTTTGTATGACAATAGCTGTTTTTTGTTTTTTGGTTTTTTTTTAACTGGAATACAAACCAGAACAATGCGTTTTTATTTTTTTTCTTTTCTTTCCCTCTCTTCATGGAGAGAATGCTCAAAACTTCCAGTTGAGACAGAATAAAATGAAGGTTCTGAAACCAAATCTTTCCAAATCACTCTTCAGAGGACGTCCTTCTGTTAAGACTCAAGCAACAAAGCCTTGCACTCATTTCCACAATAGTTTTTCAGTAGCTTCCTGGATTGCAACGAAGTTCAAACTGTCCCTTTCTGCCTACATCTATATTAGTAAGTGAAAAAGCATGATGGAAAGCAAGACATTCACCAGAACTAGATGATGAACTATTACAATGGTCCAGTTATACCCTTAGCCCACAAAGGAACTGTGAATAAACCACTCAGCACACTACCTACAGCCTATCTATTCCTTTTGGAGATCACTGTGGATAACACAGTTTTTCATTCTGAGAGATAAACTGAGTGGTGAACACAACAGCTAAGTTCTGCAACTTCTCTGTCACTAGCTTGGCCGTTTCAGTATGCACAGGCCTAGAAAGATTGTCAGCAGCTTGAGAGATCTGGAAAAGGTCTTTGAAAACATTATTTCTTACCACGCCGTTAAACCAGTATTTTTTGTGCCACATGTCAATAAGTTTCTTTTTCCTAATTAATATATTACCTTCTGTTGAGACAAATATAACAGGCATCTACATGCTTAAGTTTCCACGTGAGGAAATTTTTCTGGATTTATGCTGTGTCTACAAAATTTTTCATCAGATATTAATGAGTGCTGGATCATACAAACACTAATTAAGAAATACAATGTTTACTGAGAAAACTAGTTCTATTGATCTGTATGATGTTTTCGACAGCCGTTTACATAATCTAGTAGTAAGTCTCTGCATGGCTAAGCATAAATAAGGACTCAGCCCTTAGTATCTAAAATTTCATTCACACCAAAGAAGTGCTGAATTCCCTCTTCAACCTCAAGAATTAACATGACTAAATTACTCATTCATCCTAAGCTCTCTCTGGATTAACACTTTTAATTTTAGATGGCTTTGAATGGTCTCAAATCTATTCACTGGTTTTGGTAACGTTCTGAGTATTTAAGGATCTTATTGAAATTGCTATTACTAGGAAACTGAAATTCCCATAGGACAATTGATCTGCAAGGATCTAATTTTAATTTACCCTGATTTCATCTGTTAAAAAATCACTTTTTAAAAGATGATAAATGCTTTCTATGCAAAAATAAATAATTATGCATTTATAACTATATAGGAAATAATTAGAAGGGATGGAGACCACTGAAAAAGACATGTGTTGCCTTGGTCCATATACAGAATATACTATAAAGCCGTTTGGGGAAACTGGCTTATATCTTACTGACAAAAGCCATTGTATGGTCTAAGATGAAAGCAAAATGAAATATGCAAAAAGATATTACACATTTTCCTAAAAAACTAAAATTGAAGATCAAGCATTTTGAGATTTACGGTTTTATTTATATAACCTACTGTTTAAAACATGCATTTTAATCAGATGCCTTGTAACCTGGCTCCCCGAACACCTTGAAGAAGTCAGCCTCACCGTGTTTCATTGTTGCATACTAATATCTTTGAACTATGTCAACACTACGCAGTTCTCGGTTGCATACATTAGGCTTTAGTCATGTTCTCCTTTGATGATTTTCTTGTTTGGCATATGGTTAGATTTGATATTGTATAAATTATTCATTGGATTTGATATCCCTCCCACTTCTGCTGTTTGCATTATGGAGATATAGGCTTGGCTATATTTCAAGCAAGAGTAAGGCACACTCTTCTGTTATTTCTGCACATGTAGAATGGAAATTCTCAGTTTAGTTGATTACACGCAAAATCAATTCATGCAGTACAGAGGGTGTCACAAGGTAAAGTCTAAATGAAAGTATTCCTCAGGAAAGGGAGATCTGGGCTACATCTGCCCATTTTTAATTCATGAGATGATTCCAGAGGCATAGGTTAGTTTCATGGGGGAGGCCTTCCTGAAAGTCCTGCTGAGCTGGTTAGGTATGCATGTGCAAGGAACAGAGAGGCACAGATGAATTATTAACAGCTTTACACCCCTGTAGCACATTTGGGGAAAGAGGCTAAAAGCTGATAGTAAGACAGGTAACAAATGCCAATTATCAAATCCCAGACAGCATCATCTTATTCTGAGTCAAACTTCATACCTTTCCCTCTCAGAGGGTTACTAGGTAGTCAACCTCAATATAGAATGTACTGGGTTAGGCAAATATACGTTCAAGTTGATTTTTACCTTGCTATCATCTCTCAAATAAACATTCATGTGAATATTCAAAACATCCATAAACACGGACTATTTAATTCCCTATGCCAGATTCAGTGAACTCTTCCCCAGATAAAGCACAGGTGCAACCTACAGATTATACTTTGCCTTTAGTTTAATTTCATATTTCTTCTCATCTTTGACTGCATTTTTGTGAACAAAACTGCATTCAGGTATGCTTCTGCATGTACAAACATTCATCCTCAATAAAAGTGTTGCTGACAGTGGTTTC